GTTGGTTTGGTGGTTTTATCTTTTAAAATGGAAGAACTGGATCTACTTGAGGTTCTTCAGAATGTCCTTGGTGGTTCTGGGTCAAAACTCAGGGTTTTGGGGTCAAAAGTTGGGTTTTGGGGTCAAAAGTTGGGGTTTTGCAGTGGAAAGTTGGGTTTTGGGGTCAAAAGTTGGGTTTTGGGGTCAAAAGTTGGGGTTTTGGGGTCAAAAGTTGGGGTTTGGGGTCAGAAGTTGGGTTTTGGGGTCAAAAGTTGGGGTTTTGGGGTCAGAAGTTGGGTTTTGAGGTCCATAGTTGTGTTTTTCAGCAGTTGGTTTGGTGTTTTTATCTTTTAAAATGGAGATTTTGGATCTCCTTGAGGTTCTTCAGAATGTCCTTGGTGGTTCTGGGTCAAAACTCAGGGTTTTGGGGTCAAAAGTTGGGTTTTGGGGTCAAAAGTTGGGGTTTTGGGGTCAAAAGTTGGGGTTTGGGGTCAAAAGTTGGGTTTTGAAGTCAGAAGTTGGGTTTTGGGGTCAGAAGTTGGGTTTTGAGGTCCATAGTTGTGTTATGCAGGAGTTGGTTTGGTGGTTTGATCTTTTAAAATGGAAGAACTGGATCTCCTTGAGGTTCCTCAGAGCACAGTTGATGGTTCGGGGTCAAAACTCAGGGTTTTGGGGTCAAAAGTTGGGTTTTGAGGTCCATAGTTGTGTTTTTCAGCAGTTGGTTTGGTGGTTTTATCTTTTAAAGTGGAGATTTTGGATCTCCTTGAGGTTCTTCAGAATGTCCTTGGTGGTTCTGGGTCAAAACTCAGGGTTTTGGGGTCAAAAGTTGGGTTTTGGGGTCAAAACTCAGGGGTTTGGGGTCAAAAGTTGGGGTTTGGGATTTTTTTCCCACAAAAATGGGGATTTTTCCCTAAAAAAACAGCATTTTTTCCCCCAAAAAATCACCATTTTTCACCAAAAAATCGGGATTTTTTTCCCCCAAAAATGTGAATTTTTCCCAAAATCTCCGTTTTTCACCCCAAACCTGTGCCAGGTCCCCCCGAGTCGATGCGGGAGCACGTGGTGGCCGCCTCCAAGGCCATGAAAACGGGCGACTGGCGCCCGGATTCTTCCCCAAAAATCACCATTTTTCCCCCAAAAATCACCAAATTTTCCCCAAAAATCAGGAATTTTTTCCCCAAAAAATCACGATTTTTTCCCCCCAAAATTAGGATTTTTTCCCCAAAAATTGGGATTTTTTTTGCCAAAAAATCAGAATTTTTCCCCAAAAAATTGGGATTTTTTTTCCCCAAAATTGGGATTTTTTTCCCACAAAAATGGGGATTTTTCCCTAAAAAACCAGCATTTTTTCCCCAAAAAAATCACCATTTTTCACCCAAAAATTGGGATTTTTTCCCCAAAAATGGGATTTTTTCCCCAAAAATGGGATTTTTTTCCCCCCAAAAATTGCGATTTTTCCCCAAAAATCGGGATTTTTTCCCCAAAAATCAGGATTTTTTTCCCCCCAAAAATTGCGATTTTTCCCCAAAAAATGGGATTTTTTTCCCCAAAAATTGGGATTTTTTTCCCACAAAAATGGGGATTTTTCCCTAAAAAACCAGCGTTTTTTCACCAAAAAATCACCATTTTTCCACCAAAAATCGGGATTTTTTCCCCCAAAATGTGTTTTTTTCCCAAAATCTCCGTTTTTCCCCCCAAACCTTTGCAGGTCCCCCCGAGTCGATGCGGGAGCACGTGGTGGCCGCCTCCAAGGCCATGAAAACGGGCGACTGGCGCCCGGATTCTTCCCCAAAAATCACCATTTTTCCACCAAAAATCGGGATTTTTTCCCCAAAAAATGGGAATTTTTCCCCCCAAATTTTTTTCCCCAAAAATGTGATTTTTTCCCGAAAATGGCGATTTTTTCCCCCCGAAAATCTGGATTTTTTCCCGCCAAAAATTGCGATTTTTCCCCAAAAAATGGGATTTTTTGCCCAAAAAATTTGGATTATTTCCCCAAAAATTGGGATTTTTTTTCCTTAAAAATTGGGATTTTTTTCCCCAAAAATTGGGATTTTTTTCCCACAAAAATGGGGATTTTTCCCTAAAAAACCAGCGTTTTTTCCCCAAAAAATCACCATTTTTCACCAAAAAATCGGGATTTTTTCCCCAAAAATCGGGATTTTTTCCCAAAATGTGGATTTTTCCCCCCAAACCTTTGCAGGTCCCCCCGAGTCGATGCGGGAGCACGTGGTGGCCGCCTCCAAGGCCATGAAAACGGGCGACTGGCGCCGCTGCCATCGCTTCGTGGTCAACGAGAAGATGAACGGCAAAGTCTGGGACCTGTTCCCCGAGGCCGAGCAGGTGCGCGCCATGCTGGTCAGGTGAGCGCAAATTCGGGGCGGTTCGGGGCGGTTTGGGGCGGTTTGGGGTGGTTTGGGATTTTTGGGAATTTTTTTGGATTTTTTGGGATTTTTTTGGGATTTTTTGGGGATTTTTTTGGGATTTTTTAGGATTTTTTTGGGGATTTTTTGGGGATTTTTTTGGAGATTTTTTTGGGATTTTTTGGGGATTTTTTTGGAGATTTTTTGGGATTTTTTGGGGAATTTTTGAGGATTTTTTGGGGTTTTTTTGGGATTTTTTGGGATTTTTTTTGGATTTTGGGGGGATTTTTTTGGGAGTTTTTGGGGATTTTTGGGGGATTTTTATGGGATTTTTGGGGGATTTTTTGGGATTTTTTTGGGATTTTTTAGGATTTTTTTGGGATTTTTTTTGGATTTTCTGAGGATTTTTTAGGATTTTTTTGAGGATTTTTTGGGATTTTTTTGGGGAGTTTTGGAATTTTTTGGGGGTTTTTTGGAGATTTTTCAGGATGTTTGGAGGATTTTTTTGGGATTTTTTGGGGATTTTTTGGGGATTTTTTGGGGGAATTTTTGAGGATTTTTTTGGGGATTTTTTAGGATTTTTTGGGTTTTTTTGGGATTTTTTAGGATTTTTTGGGTTTTTTTGGGATTTTTTAGGATTTTTTTTGGGGGGGGGATTTTTTTGAGATTTTTTTGGAGATTTTTTGGGATTTTTTTGGGATTTTTGGGGGATTTTATTGAGATTTTTTGGGATTTTTTGGGGAATTTTGGGGATTTTTTGGGGATTTTTTTGGGATTTTTTGGGGAATTTTTGAGGATTTTTGGGGATTTTTTTGGGTTTTATTTGGATTTTTTTAGGATTTTTTTGGGATTTTTGGGGGATTTTTTAGGAATTTTTTTGGATTTTTTGGGGATTTTTGGGGGATTTTTATGGGATTTTTGGGGGATTTTTTAGGATTTTTTGGGGATTTTTTGGGATTTTTTTGGGATTTTTTTGGAGATTTTTTTGGGATTTTTTGGGGATTTTTTTGGAGATTTTTTGGGATTTTTTAGGGAATTTTTTAGGATTTTTTGGGGTTTTTTTGGGATTTTTTGGGATTTTTTTTGGATTTTGGGGGGATTTTTTTGGGAGTTTTTGGGGATTTTGGGGGGATTTTTTTGGGATTTTTTGGGGATTTTTTAGGAATTTTTTTGGGTTTTTTGGGATTTTTGGGGGGAATTTTTGGGGATTTTTTAGGATTTTTTTGGGGATTTTTTGGGGATTTTTTTTGGAGTTTTTGGGGATTTTTTGGGATTTTTGGGGGGATTTTTTGTGATTTTTTTAGGATTTTTTGGGGATTTTTTAAAATTTTTTTTTAATTTTTTTGGGATTTTTTGGGGATTTTGGGGTCAGGAAACGTTGGTTTTGGAGCGTGGGGGAGGGGCCAGGTGTCCCCAGGTGTCCCCAGGTGTGTCCAGGTGTGCTCTAGAGCGGGTTCTAGAACGGGTTCCGGAACGTTCTAGACTCGGTTCTAGAGCAGGTTCCAGAACGTTCTAGAGCGGTTCTAGACTCGGTTCTAGGTACGTTCTAGAACGTTCTAGATCGGGTTCTAGGTGTGTTCTAGATCGGGTTCTAGAGCGGTTCTAGACTGTTCTAGACTCGGTTCTAGACTCGGTTCTAGATTGGGTTCCAGACTGGGTTCTAGATTGGGTTCCAGACTGGGTTCCAGGTGTTCCCCAGGTGTCTCCAGGTGTGCCCAGGTGTATCTCAGGTGTGCCCCGGTGTATCTCAGGTGTACTCAGGTGTGTCCCAGGTGTTCCCCAGTTATCCCAGGTGTGTTCCAGGTGTGTCCCCAGGTGTATCTCAGGTGTGTCCAGGTGTCCCCAGGTGTATCTCAGGTGTGTTCCAGGTGTTCCCCAGTTATCCCAGGTGTCTCCAGGTGTGCCCCAGGTGTCCCCAGGTGTCCCCAGGTGTATCCCAGGTGTCCCCAGGTGTCCCTCAGGTATCTCAGGTGTGTTCAGTTGTGTCTCAGGTGTTCCCCAGGTGTACTCAGGTCTACCCCAGGTATCTCAGGTGTATCTCAGGTGTATCCCAGGTGTATCCCAGGTGTTCCAGGTGTGTTCCAGGTGTCCCCAGCTGTCCCCAGGTGTATCCCAGGTGTATCTCAGGTGCGCCCAGGTGTGTCCCAGGTACCCCAGGTGCACCCAGGTGTGTCCCAGCTGTCCCCAGGTGTACCCCAGGTGCGCCCAGGTGCGCCCAGGTGTATCTCAGGTGTCCCCAGGTGTACCCCAGCTGTCCCCAGCTGTCCCCAGGTGTGTCCCAGGTATCCCAGGTGTCCCCAGGTGTCCCCAGGTGTACCCCAGGTGTGCCCAGGTGTACCCCAGGTGTGCCCAGGTGTACCCCAGGTGTGCCCAGGTGTATGTCAGGTGTATCTCAGGTGTGCCCCAGGTGTGTCCCAGCTGTCCCCAGGTGTGCCCAGGTGTGCCCAGGTGCGCCCAGGTGTCCCAGGTACCCCAGGTACCCCAGGTGCGCCCAGGTGCGTCAGCCGTGCCGTTCCCCGCAGGAAGATCCAGGAGGAATCTCTCCGCACTTACCTGTTCACCTACAGCAGCGTCTACGACTCCATCAGGTGGGGACGCGGCCGTTCGGGGCCAGTTCACCTACAGCAGCGTCTACGACTCCATCAGGTGGGGACGCGGCCGTTCGGGGCCAGAAACGGGGAATTCGGGAAAAAAAACGAGAATTTTGGGGTGAAAAACGGGGATTTCGGGAAAAACAGGGATTGGGGGGGAAAAAAACCAGGGATTTGGGAAAAAAAATGGGAATTTTGGGGAAAAAAACGGGGATTTGGGGAAAAAAACGGGAATTCTGGGGCGAAAAACGGGGAATTCGGGAAAAAACGGGGATTGGGGGGAAAAAATGGGGATTTTGGGAAAAAAATGGGAATTTTGGGAAAAAAACGGGGAATTCGGGAAAAACGGGAATTCTGGGGAAAAAAATGGGGATTTTGGGGTGAAAAACGGGGAATTCGAGAAAAAATGGGGATTTTGGGAAAAAAAATGGGAATTTTGGGGGAAAAAAAGGGAATTTTGGGAAAAAAACGGGGAATTTGGGGGAAAGAAATGGGAATTTGGGAAAAAAATTGGGAATTTTGGGGTGAAAAAAACGGGAATTCTGGGGTGAAAAACGGGGAATTCGGGAAAAACGGGGATTCTGGGGAAAAAAACGGGGATTTGGGGAAAAAATGGGGATTTTGGGGTGAAAAATGGGAATTTTGGGAAAAAAAGGGAATTTTGGTGTGAAAAATGGGAATTCCGGGGGAAAAAATGGGGATTTTGGGGAAAAAAATGGGAAATTTTGGGAAAAAAAATGGGAAACTTTTTGGTAAAATTGGAGCAGATTTTGGGGTGAAAAAGCTGAATTTTGGGGTAAAAATGGGGAATTTTGGGGTAAAAAAGCTGAATTTTGGGGTAAAAATGTGGATTTTGGGGTAAAAATGTGAATTTGGGGGTAAAAATGTGGATTTTGGGTTGGAAATGTGGGAATTTTGGGGTAAAAAATGTGGATTTTGGGGTAAAAAGCTGAATTTTGGGGTAAAAATGTGGATTTTGGGTGGGAAATGTGGGAATTTTGGGGTAAAAAATGTGGATTTTGGGGTAAAAAGGTGAATTTTGTGTTGGAAATGTGGGAATTTTGGGGTGAAAAATGTGGATTTTGGGGTTGGCAGCATGGAGACGCTGGCGGCCATGTTTGAGCTGGACCTGCCCACGGTGCACGGAATCATCAGCAAAATGATCATCAACGAGGAGCTGATGGTGAGCTCACCTGGGGACAGGTGTGGGACAGGTGTGGGACAGGTGTGGGACAGGTGTGGGACAGGTGTGACCTCACCTGGGACAGGTGTGGGGTGGGACAGGTGTGGGACAGGTGTATGGGATCATCAGCAAAATGATCATCAACGAGGAGCTGATGGTGAGAGCTCACCTGGGGACAGGTGTGACCTCACCCGGGGACAGGTGTGACCTCACCTGGACAGGTGTGGGGTGGGACAGGTGGGACAGGTGCATGGAATCATCAGCAAAATGATCATCAACGAGGAGCTGATGGTGAGCTCACCTGGACAGGTGTGGGACCTCACCTGGACAGGTGTGACCTCAGCTGGGGACAGGTGTGACCTCACCTGGACAGGTGTGGGGCCATTTTGAGGCCATTTTGGGCCAATTTGGGGCCGTTTTGGGCCATTTTGTGACGTTTTTGTGCCGTTTCCGGGTGGTTCCCGGGGCCCAGCCCCAGCCCAGGTGTGGCCTCACCTGGGCCAGGTGTGTGGACAGGTGTGGGGCCATTTTGTGGCCATTTTGGGGCCATTTTGGGCCATTTTTGTGCCATTTTTGGGCCGTTTTGGGCCAATTTGGGGCTATTTTGGGCCGATTTGTGCCATTTTGGGCCGATTTGGGGTGATTTAGGGCCATTTTGGGGCCATTTTGGGCCAATTTGGGACCATTTTGGGGTGATTTTGAGCCATTTTGGGGTCGTTTTGGGCCATTTTGGGTCATTTTTGTGCCGTTTTTGTGCCGTTCTGTGCCGTTTCCTGGGGCCCAGCCCCAGCCCGGGTGTGCCCTCACCCAGCCCAGGTGTGGCCTCACCTGGGTCAGGTGTGTGGACAGGTGTGGGGCCATTTTGTGGCCATTTTGGGCCATTTTGTGCCGTTTTTGTGCCGTTTTTGTGCCGTTTTTGTGCCATTTTTGTGCCATTTTTGTGCCGTTTTTGTGGTGGTTCCCGGGGCCCAGCCCCAGCCCAGGTGTGGCCTCACCTGGGCCAGGTGTGGGACAGGTGTGGGACAGGTGTGGGGCTGTTTTGGGGTGATTTGTGGCCATTTTGGGGCTGTTTTGTGCCATTTTGTGCCGTTTTTGTGCTGTTTTGTGCCATTTCCATGCGGTTCCCGGGGCCCAGCCCCAGCCCAGGTGTGGCCTCACCTGGGCCAGGTGTGTGGACAGGTGTGGGGCCATTTTGGGCCATTTTGTGCCGTTTTTGTGCCATTTTTGTGCCATTTTTGTGCCGTTTTTGTGCCGTTCTGTGCCGTTTCCCGGGGCCCAGCCCCAGCCCAGGTGTGCCCTCACCTGGGCCAGGTGTGGCCTCACCTGTCGCTCACCTGCAGGCGTCGCTGGACCAGCCCACGGCCACGGTGATGATGCACCGCACCGAGCCCACGGCCACGCAGAACCTGGCGCTGCAGCTGGCCGAGAAGCTGGGCAGCCTGGTGGAGAACAACGAGCGCGTGCTGGACCAGCGGCAGGGCGCCTACGGCGGCTACTTCCGGGGTGAGCGCACCTGGGCGCACCTGGGCGCACCTGGGATACACCTGGGGACAGCTGGGGGACACCTGGGGACACCTGGGACACACCTGGGGACACTTGGGCGCACCTGGGGACAGCTGAGATACATCTGAGATACACTTGGGGTACTCGGGGATACACCTGGGCACACCTGGAGACACCTGGGCGCACCTGGGGACACCTGGGGACACCTGGGGGACACCTGGGGTACTCCTTGGGACAGCTGGGGACACCTGAGATACATCTGAGATACACCTGGGCACACCTGAGATACACCTGGGGACACCTGGGGACACCTGGGGTACTCCTTGGGACACCTGGGCGCACCTGGGGACAGCTGAGATACACCTGGGGACACACCTGGGCGCACCTGGGCGCACCTGGGGTACTCCTGGGGACACCTGGGATAGACCTGGGGACACCTGGGCGCACCTGGGGGACACCTGGGGACAGCTGGGTACACCTGAGGACACCTGGATACACCTGGGGTACTCGGGGATACACCTGGGCACACCTGGGGGACACCTGAGATACACCTGGGTACACTTGGGCACACCTGGATACAGCTGGGGACACCTGGGGGACGTGGGATACACCTGGGGCACACCTGGGGGATACCTGGGGACACCTGGGATACACCTGGGATACACCTGGGCGCACCTGGGGATACCTGGGGACACCTGGGCACACCTGAGACACACCTGGGGTGCACCTGGGGTACTCG